GTGGTGCTGGAGAATAGTGTTGAATATACCATGGACTGCTAGGAAAACACAGGTGTGTCTTCGAGTGGGTGAAACCAGGCTGCTCCTTGGAGGCAAGGACTCTGAAGCTTTGTGTGACATACATTGGGCATGTAGCAAGGAGAGACCAGTCCTTGGAGAGGGACATCATGTTTGGGAGGGTAGAGAGCGCAGGAGAGGAAGACCCTCAATGAGATGGATCGATTCAGGGATTGGTGTAATGTGAGTAGGTGTGTCAGAGACAGTGAGGTTGGCACAGGATAGAACAGAGTTTAGGGCTGTTGTACATAGAGTCGCTATGAGCCGCAAACGATTCGATGGCACATAACAGTTTAATATTTGGAGTTAGGTAATATCTTTGTCATTCAACAATTATCACAGAGGACAGTACCTACTACATACATTCGTGATACCGTTTGTTTAAATTTATGGGGGTTTTGGTTTGGTTGGTTGGTTGTTTGGGATTTGGTTTGGGGTTGGTTAGTTTTTTGATGTTTGGGGTTTTTTGGGTTGGGGTTTTTGGATTTTTTGTTTTTGTTTTTATCTTAGTGTGTCTGGAGTACCTGGCAAGTCTGTTATAACAGAAAATTATTTACTGCTTCAGTACTTGTCAGCAAAAATCAAATGACTAGACTCTGCCTTTACCTCCCTCTGAGTCATTTCCTCTCCAACCCCTCTCAGTTTCTGTCTAATTAGTTTCTCATGTGCTTACTGAGAAGAAGTTCTGGTTGTGAGGTGGTTAAACGGTAGGCTGATAACTGACAGGTCACTGGTTAAGAGTCCACCAGCCCTCTGTGGGGGAAAGATGTGGCCATCTGCTCTGTAAAGAGTTATAGCCTTGAAACCCCATGGCACAGTTCTGCTCTGTCCTGTAGTGTGACTCAGAAGCAGAACAGACTGGATGGCCATGAATTGTTTTCTTTTGCCTTGTTGCTATGCTAATTGAGTATATCTCTGAAATGAAAGTGTATTTTTGTCTTCTCATTTAGTTGCCTTTATGAAAATTACTTTGGCTGTTTTTGTGACCATGTTTTTGTTACTTAATAGATTATTAGATTTTTGTAGTATACTGATGGGGTGTGTGTGTGTGTGACTGAAAATGAAAAGAAATAAGCAACTTTGTCTTGAGAATGGAAACTTTAAACAGATTTCTGCATTATTTTATGGTTTAAAAAATTTACATATTTTATCTCTTTACCATTGCACTAAATTCAAGTGTATTGTTAGGATTACTTTGTACTAAGAGACTTCTCCCTTGGTTTGGTAAATGAAAAACTAAATTTATTTCAGTAGGTTTGTTTGTTTCCTTCATCTAACAATTAAAATTTGCATTGATTTTTTTTCTTTTTTCCTTAGAGAAACTTAAAGCAAGGTAATATTATATGGTAGTTCATAGCTTATAGATCAAGAATGCCTAGGAGATTGGATCAGAAAACTAAATTTTGGATATAAATACTATTGTATAGTTGCAGAGAAATAAATAATATGATTTAAGATCTTTAAGTACATTTTTTAAAAAGCAGTGAATTATTATTACTCATAGCTTTTGGTCAGTATTCTGTTCTCTAAGATTCACCAACCCATACTTAGTCAGAGGAAGTGCCACGATCATGGAGGTGGTTTTCCCAGGGCAAGGTTCACCTGTTGCGTTTCAGATGTGCTGACCTCTGCAATTTCCCCAAATGTGGGAAACTAATAAATTGTGGTAGTGGGGCACTGTGTGAGCCCTGTCCCCTAAAAGAAAAGGAAAAAAAAACACCCAAAAACAACCAATCAGTTGTTATTAAGTTGATTCCAACCCATAGGAACCCTATAGGACAGAATTGTTGTTGTTGCTGTTGTTGTTGTGTGCCGTTTAGTTGCTTGCGACTCATAGTGACCCTATGTACAACAGCCCTAAACTCTGCTCTGTCCTGTGACAATCGCACTGTCTCTGACACTACCATCCCTATTTCCCCAGTCACTGGATCAATCCACCTCATAGAGGGCCTTCCCCTCCTGTGCTGTCCCTCTACCCTCCCAAGCATGATGTCCTTCTCCAAGGACCGGTCTCTCCTCACAACATATCCAAAGTATATTAGACAGAGCCTCAGATTCCTTGCCTCCAAGGAGCCACCCGGTTTAACCCTTTCCAGGACAAATATGTTTGTTTTCCTAGCAGTCCATGGTATTCTCAATACTCTTCTCCAGCACCACAGCTCAAAAGCATCAATTCTCCTTCGATCTTCCTTGGTCATTGTCAAACTCTCTGATGCATAACAAGTGACTGCGAAGACCATGGCCTGTATCAAATGCACATTAGTCTCCAGAGAGACACCATTGCTCTTCAGTACTTTGGAGAGGTCCCTAACAGCAGACTTTCCCATGGCAATGCACCTTTTAATTTCCTGGCTACTGGTGCCAAGAGTGTTGACTGTGGAGCCAAGCAAACTAAAGCTGTGTACAATCTCAATCTCTTCACCATCCATCCTGATGCTGCCAGTTGGTCCAGTCGTGAGAATCACTGCCCTATATGGGGTTTTCTGGGAGCTCTATGGCCTCTTAGTAAGAAGCTGCACTGTAATCCCAAAGGTACAAAGTTCAAATGCACCAGCTTTGTGGGAGTAGGACAGGCAATCTCCTCCTTTGTGTTTAAACTGCTTCTGAAAACCCATTGGAGAATAAGCAATGAGTTGGTTCCAGGTGGGCCCCAAAACAATATAGGATTTCCAAGGCTATAACTCTTTACATAACCAGACTGCACATCTTTCTTCTGCAGTTGTTGTTAGGTGCCATCGAATTGATTACATCTTATAGTGATCCTATGAACAACCTGAATCCTGCATTATCATGTGCCATCCTCACCATCTCTGACACACTTGAGCACATTGCTAAACTCACCATGTCAATGTATCTAGATAAGGATCTTCCTTTATTTTGCTGACCCTACACTTTTCCAAGTGTGATATCCTTTTCCGTGGAATAGCTCCTCCTAGCAACACATCCAAAATATGAGACATGAAACTTAATTATCCTTGCCTCCAAGGAACGCTCCAACTGAACCTTTTCTAAGACATACCTGTTCGTTCTTTTAGCAGTTCATGGCTAGTGGGATTCAAATCACTGACTTTTTGGTTGGCGATTGAACACTTAATCAGTGGGCCACCTTTCTCAAGATAAAAGTCTTCTTTCTTTAATGAATACTAATAAGTGAAATTAATGTTAAATGGAGTTGTCAGAAAGGGGATATCATTATTTTGAAATGTGAGAGTCTTTTTCTATTAGATGCCATGAATCTAATGAATCCTAAGTAATAAGTGACCTTGGGCAAATTATTTAACCACTTTGTGATAAAATTTTATTATCTGTAAAATTAAATCCAACCAGAATGATAGTTTTGCAAGTAAGATTAAATTACTAAATTAGTTCTGATATAAAACCCAGAAAGAACTGAATTTTTAACCAGTTCCCCAAATCATTGTTGGTATCGTATAGGTTTTAGCATATATCAGAATCACCAACATGGTTAGTTAAAACAAGTTGCTACACCCTAGTTCCCAGATGATTCTGGTACTACTTACCGGGAAATTGCATTTTGAGAACCTCTCGTGTTGTGTCTGGAATATCACTTTGCTCAACTTAATATTTAAATCCCAAACCACTGCTAAGTCAATTATGACTAATAACAGCCCTCCCTTTGGTTTCTGAGGCTGTATATCTTTACAGGAGGAGATTGGCCATTTTTCTCCCACAAGAGCAACTGGTATAGTCAAACGCTGACCTTTGTATTAGTGCAACACATAATGCACTACACTACCAGTGCACTACCAGACCTTCTTTTAAAGAAAAACCAAGAAACACTAAGATAAGTAATAATGGTAATGATTGTTGATCCCTTTTTATGTCCCAGGCATCTCATTTAGTCTTGTTAACATCAATGAATGGGACCTTCTAAAAATTGTTCCTTTTTTTCCAGTATGATGAAAAGAAAACCTACTGACTGAGGAAAAAACAATTGATTGTACCTTTTTTCCCAGTAGGGTGAAAAAGAAAACCTACTGACAGGGGTTAGAAAACATTTGGCAATGACATCTCAGACAAGGGTCTCATAATGAAAGTTTACATAATGCTACAGGGCCTCTACAAGACTGATAACTCAGTCACAAAATGGGCAAAAGACATGGAAAGACTTTTCACAAAGGAAGAAATTTGGATGGCCAACCGCTCATTGAATCTGCTCAACCAGCCTATGAAATAAATGCTGCTCGTATTATTATCTTCCTCATTTTACAGAGAAGCATTTCAGTTCTGTAGAGGTTCAATAACTTGCCCAGCATCATCGAATAGTGACGATAGTAGTTGTTGTGTACCGTCTAGTTGGAAGTGACCCATAGCTCGTGCAGAGGCAGTAAATCACAGTAGAGGAGATTGCCTATATTTCTCTTGTGGAGCAGCTGGTAAATTCAAACCTTCTACCCTTTGTGTTGGCAGTACAATTTCTCACCATTCATCTACCAGAGCTCCCTAATAAGTGGTAGAGCTCTGGCAAACCTGGCTCTGAGGCTCACAGTCTTAAACAGTATTCAAATAGAAGGTACAAATAAATCTGTTTACTATTTATTCTTTCCATTTGAGCAGATGCCAACCAGTGCATCACCACCCTATTTTCAAAGACACTCTTCTAGAATTCTTTCATTTAATTTTTTTTTTGAGGCCCCTGCTGGGATATGAACCCTCATTTAATTTTTTGTATTTTTTTAGATGTCTTTTTGTGTGTGCATTATGTGGTGTGGTGTTGTGTGGGGTTCTCTTGTATCCTTTGGTGTTGTGCTGTGGTGTGTTACATTGGTGTGATGGTGTATTCTTTGGTGTTAGATGTCTTTTTAAAATATTTAAATGAAATCTTGCTTGTTGCATTTGTCTTCTACTATCATACTCATGTATAAAACAAAAAATTATTATTATTCCCCCCCCCCCCCCGTTACAGAATCTTTTAGGCTAATATGGCAGTCAAGTGGACTGATGGACATTCTTCTCCTATTCTCTGTTTAAATGCAAGTAAAGAAGGGCTAGTGGCTTCTGGAGCAGAAGGTGGCGATCTCATGGTTTGGAGTGAAGATGGGACCCCATTAGGACACCTAAGGTTCCAAGGGACTGATGACGTTGCCAGTGTCTTATTTTCCAACACCTGTCCCACCAAGCTATATGCCTCACATGGAGAGACCGTTAGCGTACTGGATGTCAGGTCACTCAAAGACTCCTTGGACCATTTCCATGTAAACGAAGAAGAAATAAATTGTCTTTCATTGAATGAAACAGAAAACCTGCTGGCTTCTGCTGATGACTCTGGCACAATCAAAATCCTGGACTTGGAAAATAAGAAAGTTAGCAGATCCTTAAAGAGACATTCCAATATTTGTTCTGCTGTAGCTTTTCGGCCTCACAGACCTCAGAGCCTGGTATCTTGCGGGCTGGATATACAGGTAATGCTTTGTATTATCTATCCTCTGCTAACATATCTTCTTCAATTATTAGCCATAATTTTTACGTCTACCTTATATTAGGGTTAGTCTGACAGAACCTAGTAGATTTTAATCCTTCCACTTTTAGTCTTCCTTTCTCTGTGCTTTACCACCTTCCTAAAACCTGAGAATTTACATTTTTGGCTCAGAACATTTGCATAATATATAAGTAGACTGCAGAAGGCAAAGTTAGCCACCCATTCTTTGCAAGCTGGGCTATTTAAGTTAAGTTTGAGGGGTTTGGATCTCTTTTACTAATTCTTGGATGTATTAATGGAAATGTTTTATGTTGGTGACCACAGAAAGAGCTTTCACATAGTTCAGTCTTTCCGATAGTGAGATGTTCTTTCTCTTGAGAGTAAATCTCAGTAATGACGATAGTCATAATTTCTGTTTATGGAGCATCTACCATTTTCCACTACTTTGCATTTATTAATTTAATGCTAATCATACCTGCTAAGTAATTACTTTTTTTGCAAATAAGGAAACTGAGATTAAGTTAACCACACAGTTGGAATTCAGACCTAAGGCATAGCACCAAATGTATTCAAGAAAAATGTCATTGATGATGTAGTAGGAAAACATCAGGGTTTTGGAACAGGTGACTTCTCGAAAGAGAACCATTGTTTATTACTGACATTTGTACCCAGAACTGTTCTAAGCATTTAATCTAAATTCCCAATTTTATACAGTCTAGTGTAAGACTCTGTGATCCTATCTAAAAAGGTTTTTTTTACCTTCTTATCCATTGGTCTTTCTCATGCCCTCCTGAGCCTTCAAAGCTCTGGTGGCCTAGTCCATCAGGAATTTCACTCCTAAGGCAAAGACTGTGTTTATCTGACGATTCCAATCCATCAGCCACTCCTTGGGAGAAAGATGAACAGTCTCTTCCTGTGCCATTCACAACCTCTGAAAGCCCTCTGCTTTGATTTCATCCAGCTGTGAGTTCATTCCAACACCACAGCAATGAGTTTGAGGTTTTTTCTTTCTAGGTTTGTTATTGTTTTTAATCTTCTGCCTTCCTCCCTTATTTAGAGTTAGTTGATGCTTATTTTTATTGTGAAAATTAAGAAATCCTCTTACCCTCAAACTAGAGAGCTCTGGTGGCTTAGTGGTAAGGAATTGCACTGCCAGCCTAAAGTCAGATGGTTCAAATCCACCAGCTTCTCCACAAGAGGAAGATAGACAGTCTCCTTCTGTATGTTTTACAGCCACTGAAAACTTATTAGAGGGTCAGTTATGAGTTGATTCTGATGTGACAGCATATGACAACAATAACAGGCCCTAAACTATGATACTTAATATGCAAAATCTATGAATACTAAACATCCCACAGTGCTGAATGTCCCAGAACAGCAAAGAATTATCCTGCCAAGATGTCTATAATGGGAATCTCTCTCTCCTTAATGATCATAGTGACCCTAGCACCACCATTCTTTTACCATAGTGGTGAAAACTGCCTAGATGATTGTACAGAAAGACCTCCACAACCAGATGGATATCCATTTTGAGTAGGTAAATTGTACAGTATACCTTTGATTAGTCCTTCTTTCATCCTTCAGCTGTACCAGTTTCTTTTTCAGATACTGGATCATAAATTAACCACTAGCCATGACGCTAGACATTTAAGTGTACAAAAATGTATCTGGTAACGTAGTGGTAAGGAGTTGTGCTGCCAAGCCAAAGGTGTGTGTTTCGGTCTCTGAGCTGCTGTATGGAAGAAAGCTGAGTAATCTCCTCCCATGTGAAAACCCGCTGGCTGATAACTGTGGCGTTTCCAACTTCATAGTACACAACACAGCAACATATTCAACAAGGAAGAGGCATTCAGAATTTGACATTTTGCCTCCAGTTCTGTTCCTTAGATTTTAGTAGTATACAGCTGGCAACAGCCTAAGAAATTTATTTTTAATTTCTGATAAGTTTTAAGTCATTGCTTTTTTTATTTGACTGCCAAAATTGTAACAAATTCACTGTGGATTACATTCTTCAGTAGTTTGTGATACAACAGTAATGGCTACACAGCATGGAAACCCAAAATCTCTGTAAATGTTTATGAAAAGTAATAAAATATAGAAAAAAAAAACCAGTAATGGCTACACAGCACATTCATGCTTTAAGAAATTCCATTTGCAATTTCTTCCACCCTTTGATTTTAGTACTTGACTATCCAGTGTTAGTTGAATTCTCAACCAGCTTCTGGGAGAGCCCAAGAATATAAGCTTAATAATGAAAGGAAACATTACTAAGTTATTTTTGAGTTCTTTCTTTCTCTAACCTCAAGGCAGGAACTGAATTACTGCTATATTCAACAACCCTTCACTGTTGTTATAGAAATTATAAAATTATAACCTTAGATTTGTTGTTTGTGGCTCCTAAATGAGCCCCAGTTCATGACAATCATGTGCACAACAGAAGAAAATACTGCCAGTTCTTCCAGCAGTCAGTTGCATTTATGCCTCTTGTGACCCACAGGACCCTGACTGGCTGATTTCAGATCTAGATTGTCAAGCCTTTTTTCCTTATCCAGAAGCTTCACTGAAACTGTTCAACATCATGCAAACTTCCATTGACTGACTGCCAGGTGGTGACTGACTGTGAGGAACACTGATTGAGGCTTGAGCCCGAGTCTCCCATGTAGAAGGCAAGAATTCTGTGGGGAAGATTGAACCCGAATTCCCCCCCCACAAAAAAGAAGGCAAGAATTCTTCCAGAAAACCACCACCTTATAAATGTTTGGTTTAGATAGATTTGAATTAAATTCAAAAGAGGCAGAGATTTCAGGAACATAGTATGACTTATTAAGATGTTTGAGACTGTACTTTCTCCCTCAGAGTTGCAGGTAGATTCAGAACACCAGAGAGCAAAACCTTTATGTCAGCAGCCAGCTCCCTGTGGACTACATCACCAGAGTTCCCTCTAACAGTGTTGTTGTTGTTGTTGTTGTGTACCATCAAATCAGAACAGCCTCATAACTGACTCTCCTCTGGGTTTTCAGGTGCAGCAAATCACAGGGGAGAAGATTGCCCGTAGCTGATGGATTCAAACCACATGTCTTTGGTTGACAGCACAGCTCCTTACCACTAGACCACCAGAGCTGTTAATAGCATTGTGCTCTGTAATCGCAGAAACCTCTCTCGTAATGAACTGTAGAAATGATTCCTGAAAGTAGTAGCATTAGTAATCATAATTTTGTCACTTGAGATCTGTGCTAAGCAAGATCATTTTTATTCTACTGTTCATTTTAAATTGTGAGTCATAATTCAAAAATAATACTAGGTGGTATAATAAAATTATTTCCTTTGAAGATGGTAATATTTTCCCTCTTAACCCTGTTATCATAGGAAGAGAATAAATCATTAAGTTATAAAATCCATTCGCAAAGCTTATTCTTTGCTTTAAAATGTTTTAATTAGCATTTCTGTTTAAATTAGTAGATTTAAGAAAATTATAGGAGAGTAACCAAAAAAGTCACATATAATTCCAGGAAGTAGCCAGTAGTCAACAGACATATTTGGGATCTCTGTTCTTTGCGAGGCATTATGCAAGAGATTGATTACATCACAGGTTGAATTAAGCTGACAAGCTAGTTAGTTCACATCCATTACTGGGATAATAGTCAACCCTATAGAAATTAGATACGGCAAAAAGAGAAATAGACTGAAATAGTTAGGAAAGCCTTCTTTAAGGGACAGGGACTTGAGCTAAGTCCCTCAAATGAGTTGTTAGGTGACATGAGTCAACTCTGCCTCATGGATACCCTGTGTACAACAGATCAAAATCATGCCCACTCTTGGAAATCATCTTCTTCACTGACCCTCCACCTTTCCCAGTGTCATGTCTTTCCTAAAGGCTAGCACCTCTACCACTGGAGACGGAGGGGCAATCTCCTCTTGTACCAGTCAAATCCAATTCGACAATACACACAAAAAAAGTAATAAAAATTAAGAAGGCTGGAACTTCCCAAAGTATGTGAGACAGTGTCTTGCTATCCTTGCCTCTGAGTAACATCCTGGTTGCACTTCTTGCAAGATAGACTTGTTTTTTGGGTTTGTGTTTTTGTTTTGTTCTGTTTTGCAGTCTATGAGATATTCAGTACTTTTTCCAGCATTGCAGTCCAAATACATCAATTTTTCTTTGATCTTCCTACTCATTATCCAACTGATAGATATAGCATGAAGGAATTGAAAACAGTGTGGCTTGGAAGGCTTATTTAAACTGACCTCCTTGCTCTTCAACATATAATGAAGTCTTGGACAGCACAGTTGCCCAATGCATTATGCCTTTTGATATCTGGACTGCTGCTTCCTTGGATTTTGATGGTAAATCCAAATGAAATTATGTCATTGACAAGTTTGTTTTCTTCTCTACTGGTCCATTTGCAAGGATTTTTCTTTTCTTTTGTATAGTCCATACTGAAAGCCATAGTCCTTGATCTTCACCAAGTGGTTCAGGTCCTCTTTACTCTCTGCATAGTGCAGGTTGTTAATGAGTCTTCCTCCAATTCTGAGGCCATATTTTTCATATACTCAAGTGTCAAATGATGTGCTCAGCACACAGATTGAGTAGGTCTGGTAAAAGGATACAACCTTGATGCACCACTTTCTTGATTTTACACCATACAGTGTGCCCTTACTCTCTTCAAACAACTTCTTGGTCCACCCAGAGGTTTTTCATGAGCACAGTTACATACTCTAGAATTCCCATTTTTCGCAATGTTATCTATACTTTATTGTGGTACACAGTCAGATGCCTTTGTGTAGTCAATAAAACACAAACATCTTTTATGTATTCTCTGCTTTCAGCTAGGAGCCATCAATACTAGAAATATCTTTTGTTCCAGGGCGTTTTTTTGAATCCAACTCAGATCTTTGACAGTTCCTCATTGATGTACTGCATCAGCCCTTTTTAAGTAAGCATCAGCAAGATTTTACTTGTGTGTGATATTGTTTGGTAATTTCCAAATTCTTTTAATCACCTTTCTTTGTAATAGACAGAGATATGGATCTCTTTCAGTTACTTGCCCAGATCTTCCAAATTTCTTGAAATAGGCTAGTGAACCCAGGGTTGCATTCTGTTTGTTGAAACACCTTCACTGAGACTCTGTCAATTCCTGGAGCCATATTTTTCAATGATTTCAGTGCCATTTTCATTTCTTTCTTCAGTGCCATTAGTTCTTGAAATGGTTCAGTATCAACCAGTTCTTTTTGGTACAGTGACCTTGTCTCTTTCTTCCATCTTCTTTTTTTTTTTTTTTTGTTCATAGCAGTATTATTCACTATCACAAGAACATGGAAACAGTTCAAATGTCCAACTACAAATGAATGGATTGAGAAATTATGGTACATTCACACAGTGGAATACTATGAAACACCCAGGAACAATTATTCTCTACATCACTACCTAACTTGGGAGGGACTAGAGAGCATTATGCTGAATGAACTAAGTCAGTCCTATAAGGACAGATACTGTTTACAGCCATTATTGTAAAATGAGTATGAGGATCCAAAGGCAGGAAGAGGTTGGAAGCAGAGAAGTGAGGATGAGGTGGGAGGATAATCATAGGGTTGCACAGTTTGATGGGGGAGGGGTGGCGGTGAAGGGTAAAAAAAAGATTAAAAAAAGGGATATAAGATAAAAACAACGTATTTGAGATATAATGAAAATGGCTGAAATAATCCTAAAGGCTTAGATTTAACCTTACACATAGATTCAAATGTGCTGCTTAGGGATTCATACTTTATTATTAAAGGTTTTGTGGGTAGGCTAAGACTGTAACTCTGTCAAACTTTATTAAACTCTTTGTGTTAGATCCTCTAGTAGATCTGAGCTCTGAGGGAGGTAATATTTGATAATCATCCCAATAGTAACTGCCATGTAATAATCATCATGCTACAACAGTAGCTGCCATGTCATCATCATGCCACTTTTTTAAGATAGTCATGAATCAGTTTGAGAACTACAAATGGTTGTCAAGGTCTTTTAGACAATCAGTTATTGTCCAGGTACATTAATGTCTCAGGCCACATTTGGTTTTGTCCCACTTTTGACTAACTTAGTCATTGCATTCAATCACAATATCCCATTTGTTGTTCCTTTTACAGCTCTTTAATTTTGTATGATTTACATTCCTCCCTGGGATTCTTCTTTTAGTACTTCCTGCATCATTCTTTATTTTACACACAGAGTCCATCAATATTGAAACTTGAATTTTCTTTAGTTCTTTCTACTTGGGAAATGCCAATCATGTTCTTTCCCTTTTACCCTCTAGGTCTTGGCACATTTCATTATAGTACTTTGCTTTGTCTTCTTGAGCTGTTCTTTGAAGTCTTTTGTTCAGCCCTCTTATTTCATCATTTCTTCTTTGTGGTAGCTTCTATATGTTCAGGAGCAAGTTTCAGAGTATCTTCTGACATTTGGACTTTTCTTTCTTTCCTGTCTTTTTAATGACCTTTTGCTTTCTTCATGAAATTCATACTCGATATCATCTCACAACTCTTCTGATTGTTGTTGAGATTTTTTTTTTTAAATTCAGGTGGGATAAACTCAAGTCATGCTTTGGCCCTTGTGAATTTGTTTTGAATTTGCATGTAAGCAATTGATAGTCTTTCCCACAGCTGGCCTCTAGCCTTGTTCTGTTGATACAGAGTTTTTCCATATCTCATTCCACAGATGAAGCCAGTTTGGTTTCTTTACATTTCATTATGAGGCCTCTTTTCTCTCACCAAAGTCATATTTTCCAACTACCATTTCAATTACCAGTTGTTACTATTGCATTTCTTTTTTTAAAAAAGCAAAACACTCATTCCTTTTATTGTGATCTTACTGGAAGCTTACAAAGAGATATTTTTTTTCATTCATTCATACACATTTTCCTTCTTCCCCTACCCTAATTATATTAAGGCATCTTATTTGGATGTTCAAGTAATTTCAGACTGCAGAACTTGGTAGAAGTCCTCAACTTCCTCATCTTTGACTTTATTTAGGAATTAATGCAAGTAGGCACAAGGAGTTAGTGCAAGGAGAAGTATTTGTAGCTCCTCCTTGTAGATATGTATGGATATTATCACTGAAAGAATTATACTTAAGGACATATCTTAAAACATTCTTTTAAATGATGAACATGATGCTCTCCTTTGTCATTCCTGGATAATTTTGGAAATGTGAAAAGAAAGGAAAAGCATTATAGATTGAAATTATATCAAGGATAATCTCAAATTTACTTTGTTTCATTGATAACACTTTTTCTTATCAGTACCATAGACCAAAAGTCATTAATTTTGTCATCTTCTGATTTACTTGAAGAGATTAAGAGTAGAATTGTTAAAACTGAACAGCTGCTTAACAATCTATATCACACTTCTGTAATGTCAGTTGATTAAAGGTTATTTAAGATTATTCTGATAAATGCTACCAACTTCTCTTTGACATTCTAGCTTAGCATTCCAGTTCCACTGGCATAGAGTTGTAGTGATCGATATCTTACTAATAATTTTCAAACTACTTGGATAGTTGCATTAGAAGTTGAACAGAACGGCAAGAATTCTGAATGACTGTGTGACTCTTGGCTCTTATTTAAAGGTGATGCTGTGGAGCCTTCAGAAAGCCCGACCACTCTGGATTACTAATTTACAGAAGGATGAATCCGAAGACCTGGATGGCCCACAGTCACCTGGCCAGCTTTTAAATCCTGCTCTCGTCCACTCTGTGTCAGTGGCATCATGTGGCAATATTTTTAGTTGTGGTGCTGAAGATGGGAGAGTTCGAATTTTTAGGGTGATGGGAGTTAAATGTGAACAGGAATTGAGATTTAAGGGTCACACATTGGGTATATCCCAGGTTAACTTTCTTCCAGAATCATACTTGCTGCTTACTGGAGGGAATGATGGGAAGGTAATGTTATGGGATGTGAGCAGTGACATAGAGAAAAAACACAAGAGTGCCACAAAACATACCCATAAAAGGAAAATGAAGAGAGCCAAGCAGGATGGGAAGACTGGTGCTTCAGTAACAGAGAAAAAGGAACATGGCCGCATTTTGCCAAAACTGACTATTGAGCATGGTGAAAAAGTGAACTGGCTCCTGGTTACAAAAATAAAGGGATGCCAAAGCATATTAGTAGCTGATCAGACTAATTGTATATCTGTCTATCCTTTAAATTAAATGTAAATGTAGTGAAAACATTTGAAGAACTGTCTTTCTTTAGAATGGGGGAGGGATGGATATCCTAATTCTTCATTTAAACTATTGAATCATACCATTCCACTGGATAAGATTCAGGACACTTGAGTAAAGAAGACAATTCAGTAATACTTTATATAGTAAATGACTTTGAAATTTGGGAGAATAAAAGTATTTCTTCAACACTGACTACAAAACCATAATTAAAAAAAATAAAAATAAACAAAAAACCATAATTTTACATCTCTCTTGGTTTTATTCTGCATTGATGAAGTGGATGATTACTTCCATTTTAATGCTACAGGAGTAAAAACACAGAGATGTTAAGTAACTTGAGGATCCAGGAAAATTGAAAGGATACTCGTCTGAAAAGGCCTTGGTTGTCTTGTCTAATCTTGTGTTGTGTAGGGAAGTCTACGTCCTGACCCAAATCTAGCCACCACCTTAGTTCGAAGGTTTTATTTGCTCCCACTGAATGGGCTACCATTTAGGGCATCTCCATGTGCAGAGTGTAACAGGCCTGTGTGACCCATGGGGTTTTCACTGGGATTAGATTACCAGGTCTTTCGTCTCAGTCTTCGTCTGAAAGCTTCCTTGAAACCTGTTGGCACCATAGCAATGACCAGCCTCTTCTGTCCAGGGTAGTGACTATGCTTGAAGAGTATTGACTAGAAGTCAAACCTGGGTTTTGCTGCTTGCAAATTGAGAATTCTACCATTGAATCAGGGTGTTGTCAAGAGGCTTACCATGTTTTAAGAGAGAACATTCTTGCCTTTGTTGAAATTACCTTTTAGTCATGGAGCTCTGGTGGCCTAGTGGCAAGAAGCTGCACTGCAGTCTTGAAGGCACATAGTTCAAATTCAGCGGGGAAAGGATGGGGAGGCTCCTCCCATGCGATTAACTGCCTCCAAAAACCTTCTGGAGGGTCAGCTGTGGGTCAGTTCTGACTCAACAGTACCCAACAACAACAGTGTCTCCATTATGATATTGTTGTTTTGTACCGTCGAGTCAGAACCAACTCATAGCCAACCCTCTAGCAGTGAAGACCATTACGTTGTCCATGGAATGCTAGAAGAATGAATAAATCTATCTTGAAAGAAGTATATAGCCAGACTGCTCCTTAGACATGAGTATGGTGAGACTGTCTCATGTACTTTGAACATGTTATCAGGAGAGGCTGGTCTCTGGAGAAAGACATTGTGCTTGGTAAAGTAGAGATGGGGGGAAATCAGAAATCCCTCAAATGATTGCTACAGTAACGATGATTGCTACAGTAACGATGGGCTCAGCCATAGCTACAATTGTGAGAATGGCACAGGGTCAGGCTGCATTTTATTCTCTTGTTCACAGAGTCTGTGAGTTCAGATCTACTTGGTTACACTTGACAGTGGTTTTTTTGTTTTTTGTTTTTTTATTAAATTTTATTAGTTTCAATGAACACACAGGGATTCTGGGCTTTCACTCCTTCATTGCCGCACCATTCTCTCCACCCTCCTCCCCAGTTTGTTCTTCTTCCCCACCATCCGAATGTCTGTTTTAATTGTCCAATTGCCACAGTGCTTACTTGACAGTGTTTCTAAGAAAAATGCTCCAGTATCAGATTTAGGGTGTTATCCTTACCAGATCACTATCTTGAAGATTTACAATGAATAATAGATTATTAAAGAGTTTGAGATTTTTTTTTTGGCGGGGGGCCGGGGGGGGTGGGAAGTGACTTGATTGTTCCATAATACCAATTACAATAATCACAATATTAGATAATCCATTCATTCTATATTATCTCTCCCTTCACTCAATAATTGTTATTGTTCACATAATCCCTTTGTATGAACCACTTATTCATATACCACAGATGTACTGATACATGAGACTCTGGTTGAGAGAATACTATTTATAAAAATAATAATAATTATGCAAGCTAGTGTTTGAACATGCACTGCCTGCCAGAGGGTCAGCTATGGTTGGTTCACACAGTCACAGCTCGATGTCACACAGTCACAGCAACCTTGAACTTACTCAGGTATGACCAGCCATAAGTATTTTAGGAGAAATGGCATTGATTCTGATGCACACCAAAGATTGAAATAGAAAAAAAAAATATTGAAATAGAAGTAGGGGTTAAGTTTTTAAAAGTAAGGTGTGGTATACATTATCTCCAGTTTCTGGTGGAGAGGTCACAGGAAGAATTTGGTTTTTTTATCCACTCTGTCTCGTCTAGAGAGGGACATCATGCTGGGTAGAGTAGAGAGACAGCGCAGGAGGGGAAGACCCTCTATGAGGTGGATTGACTCAGTGACTGGGGTAATTGGAATGGGTGTGTCAGAGGCAATGAGATTGGCACAGAATAGAGCAGGGTTTAGGGCTGTTGTACTTAGGGTCGCTATGAGTCACAAACAACTCGACGGCACATAACAACAACAACAACCATCTCGTCAAGGGATCTCTGGTGGTATAGTCCATACACTGCCAACCCAAAGGCTGCTTGTCCCCTCATTGGCTCCGAGGCAGAAAGATCGGCAGTCTTCTATTATGACTTACAGCCTCACCTATGAGTTAGAACCAACTCAATTGCAATGAGGGGCATTTTTTTCTCATTTGTTTTGATTTTTTCTTAAATGTATTTTGTTTCCCAATGTACATTTTTGGCTGAAAGAAGGAACCACATAATTTTTTTTTATAATGGAGATTATTTCTATAAAACTTGGAATAATTAGGAATATCACCTCTTCAGCCCAGTAACCATTCTTAATCCCTGTTAGGATCGAATTGTGTTCTCCCAGGTTTGTGTTGTAAATGCTAATCCCAGTGGATATAGTAAGACTATGTCAGTGTGGAGCAAATTTTAAATCAATCATTTTTTAAATTAAAAAGCTAATTAGGTATGGCAAAGCAAGCACAAATGGAACCACAAGTGCCACATGACAACCTTCGTGTGAATTCTCTAAGGACTTCGTAAAAGGGAGCTCTGGAGGCCTGCTGTGTCCACAGACCCAAAGACTGTGTTTCAGGTGGTTCAAATTCACCACAGCTCCTTGGGAGAAATATGAGCAGTCTCCTGTGCTGAGGTTCACAGCCTGGCTGAAAGGGCAGTTCTGAGTCGGTTCCAACTCAACAAGAGTGAGCTGTTGCTAAACTGAGAGACTATGTTCATTTATTGTTCAGTATGTTCAATTGTAGCATTTCTGCTGTAGTAGCACTAGATGACTCAGAGCCCTGAGAGAGAGGAAGACCGTCAGCCAGACGGATTGGCGCAGTGGCTGCAGCACACGAGCATGTCAGAGATGGTGAGGGTGACACAGCGTAGGGCAAGAGTCAGATCTGTTGTTCACAGGTCGCTGTGTGTTGTACTCAATGGTACCCAGCAACAAAAACATTTCCAAGACTAAAATGTATCACAGGCCTCATGGAAGTACTACATATAACTCTTACATAGGTTTTTGTGGGATTATCTCCCCTTTTGCCCCTCCTTTTTTCTAATTGTGATTTTAATGAGAGTTTACAGGTAAGTTGTATTTTCATTCATCAGGCGACTGGACAGCACATAACAACAACAACAACATTGTTGCATATTTTCCTCCCTACCCCTCTTCACTTTTTAAAAAATATTCATTGTTGCATAATTTCTTCCCCCCACCCTCATCCACTTTGTTATGCACCTCTTATTCTGCACTGTTGTCATACAAATAATGCATAATTACATATTCCTTTTGTTTGTTTTTCCTTGTTGTGTACCATCGAACCGAATGTGACTAGCACAGGAGGAGATTGCCCTTCCTTTTCCAGCGGAGCATCTGGTGGATTCGAACTGTACATATATTTCTTTTAAACAGTTCTTTCTTTCATCTGTTCCAATGCAGTGTTCATTAGTTATTTATCCCCTCTTTTCTTAGTTTCCTCCCAACCCACATGTTAATCCTGTTTTATAATAATGGTGTTACAGAGCATATGTAGTTTTTCTTGTTAGTTGCAGTTAAGTTGATTTCAACTCACGACAAATCCATGTGGGTTTTCTGCTTTCGAAAGCAGGTTGCCAGCCCTGTCTTCCTATGCACCTATCAGTGACTTCAGGCTCCCAGCCTTTCAGCTGGTGGCTGAGTGCTTAACTGTGTCATTCCGGTTTTTAAGCATAGTTTAAATAACAAATACTCATGTTACACCATCACCAATACCACAGCTACCATGCTTATGAAACCGAAAATAACATCTTTGAAGCACTTTTCAGTCATTATTTCATTAACTAATAGAATGAGGTTAGGATTATTCTCTTCAGTTTACGTATAAGGAAACTAAGACTAAGGGATTAGATTTAGGTAGTTTGCCAAGATCACATGGGCCGTACATGACTCCAAACAATAATAATCCTGATGATAGATTCAGAGAGAAAAACTTGATCCATCTTTTTTTTTTGTTAACTATTTCTATTTCCTCTCTTTCTTTCAAAATAAGACGTTTGATTGAGTCTGTGTGCCAGTACCCAACATGGAGCCCCTAGGTTAGCAAAGTTTTAAGTAAACATCCTTGGAGTGATTGACATTCTTGTATCCAACCTTTGGCTTAGGTCCCAGTCTCTAGTCTGGTCACCTGGAGCCTGACTGGCTGGACTGGTTTTAGTTCTTAGAAATGACAGAAGACTTCTGTCCAGAACAGGTTCAGTTCCTTGTTATTTGGAGAGTTTAGTGTGACTGGTTTCTTAGGCTCCCCAGAAAACTGATTAGTACCATAAGTAACCAAAATAAAATGAATTTTAAAGCCTAAGTAAATTTTTTTACTAACTAAACACTGAAGTCATAATATCTTTTAATTAATACTTCAGAAACAGCTTTAATGACATATATTCTTGTCTTTTTCTTGAAGGGTGATTAGTTTTAAAATTACATTCTTTTATTTTATTTTATTTTATTATTTTTGTGTGTGTGTACCGTCAAATCAGATCTGACTGGTACAGGAGGAGATTGCCCCTCCTTCCCCGGCAGAGCATCTGG